ATAGAGGTTAGCTTTTTGTCCTTTGCTAGCAAAGGGGCCCTTGTCAAGGCTATTAGCTCTGTCTTCTGGGGTGAGGTTCTGGTAGGCAAAGGCTAGGCTTCTACCACAGAGTTCAATGTTACCACTGCATATCCTGCCTGTTGGACTCCTTTTAGCTATAAACTACTTTCATCTGTGAAATATTTAATATGTGGGTCTCCAAGAGGGTGATCTGTGAGATTCCCCTGACTGGAGAATACTTCATCCATAATTTCCATACAATCATGAAAGGGGGGCTCCCAGTTCCACTGGGAGCAAGATAGCTGGATTAAGTGTGTTTACTGTGTCTAGAGTTATGTGGGGATTTTTACATAGGAGCCCTTGATACTGGGTCATTTTTGGGTTTGATAACAAATGGTGTCCTCTCTGGTCTATCAAGATTATGACTGAATGTGTTACTTGAATGGTCAGTTGTTGTCCCAAGGGTAGCTTGTCAGCTTCCTGTGGCAGCAGGGCAGTGACAGCAAGTGCCCTGAAGCATAGAGGCCATCCTATGACACTTATCCACACTTTGACAAGTATGCCACTGGACAATGCCAGGATCCCAAGACTTGAGTTAAGACTCTTATAGCCATTCTCTTGCATTTATGGACATATAGGAAGAAAGGCTTGGTTAGATCTGTCTGTCAGTCTTAAGGCTGGGGCCTGAGTGAAATCTCTTTTGATCTGTTTAAATGCTCTCTTCTGGTCAGTTTTCCAAAGGAGTGAGTCTTTTTCCCCCCGTCTGTGAATTTATTAAGGGTTTAGCCATAAGTGAGAAACTTGGGATCCAGACATGGCAGAATTCTACTGCCCCCAGAAACTTTCTTATTTGGTGCCAGATGGTGGCTGGGGTTGGGAGTGCACAGACAGCCTGTTTTTTGCTCTATGCCTAATTGGCATTCCCGCTGTGTCACTATGAAGCCTAGATATTTGACCTCTTGTCAACAAATTTGTGTCCTTTTTCTTGGATACTTTATATGTAGCCCTCTAAAACAAATGACGGAGGTCTTTAGTTTCTTGATAGTAGTCCTCGGCTTGGGGCTGTCAAAAGGAGGTCATCTACATGCTGCAGCAAGGTGCAGTTGTCCCTTGGTGTGATGAAAGGTTTGAAGTTGGTACCCAGTGCCTCTCTAAAGATTGTAGGAGAGTTTTTGGACCCTTGGGAAAGCCTAGTCCAACTCAGCTGTTTTTTTGTGCCTATAATCCTCTCATTGAAATGAAAAGATGGGCTGACTGATTGGTGAAAAAGGCATCTTTTAAGTCTAAGCAAGTAAACCAGGCAGTATTTGCTGGAATGAGCTCCATCAATGTGTCAAGATTTTATGTTTTAAAAGTGGCTTTCGATGTCCTTGAATGTCTTGTATGCCTTACCAGAGGAGAGGGTATCGTTAGACTTGAACCGAAATTGTTCCTGGTTTTAGTTTTACCATCATTGGCGTTTGATTTATAGCCAGCCCAGGTGGATTATCTTCAGCCCATACCCTGGAAATCTTGTGTGCTAGCCCATATAATTTATTTGTTTTTTATGGTGGTGGTTTGTTTCAGTTTCTTAGGATGGCAAGAGTTAACATCATGGCTTTTGGTGGAGCCAGGCTTAAAGTCATATTTCCCTGCAGCCCAAAGATAATTTGAGCCTGTAGCTTTTGGAGTAAGTTTCTCCCTAACAAGGGAACTGCGTAGTTTGGCAGATACAGGAACTCATGTTGGACTTTTTGTTCCCCTATAACACATCTTTTAGGCTGACAAAAATGGTCTCTCTTCTGAAACCCCAGTGGCTCTTACAATAGTCACACTTTTTTTTTGGATAATGGCCCAATAGTTTGTGCCATCGAGCACTCAGCTCTGTTGTCTACCATAAAGTTTATCAATTGGCCTCTTAACCTTATTGTGACCGTGAGCTCCTGGGGCCCTAAGGGGGTGGAGCCTGGGCAAGCCTAGTCCTTGTAACCTTTAATTCTGCCAGTCCAATGAGGTTACCATCTGTTTTTTTTCCGGAGGCAATAACCTTGTGAAGGCAACTTTCTAGTTTTGGAGTTTTTATCATCTCTGTCATCATTTTCTGGACATTCATTTTTCTAGTGTCCATACTTTTTATATCATGCACATTGATTCTAATCCAGCTTTGGTTGACTGTCAGATCCTGGCTCAGTTTGGCTCCTGTTTTGCCCATGTCCATGCTCTTGAGCTTCTGGTTGACCTCTTGTTTTGCTGTATTTTTTTTTTTTTTTTTTGCAGAGCATCCCAGTAGAGCTGATTTTTCTTTCTCATTTGCCTTAGGTTTGGCTTGAGCTATCAGCATATGTTTAACCATAAATCAATGTAGGGAAATTGATCTGGGTGCCCTGGTTGTTCTCCTTTTCTAGTTAACACCCTATGTGCATGCCCAATTATCTTCCTTGTCCCCTTGGCCAGCAACCCAACATCAAAGGAGGGCCAATCTATTTTATAAAGAGTTCTCAACCTCTGGGGGGCCAACTTTATTCTATAGTCCCCAGTGTAGCCTCTTTTAAAGTTCTTTAACATATATTCTAATGGGATGGGTTTTAACACTTTTCTTCTAGTATCTACTCTGCTGTGATGGAAATCACACTCTCAAGCACTTTTGCTTTAGCCAGATTAGATTATTCCCTTTGCAGGAGTTTTTAGAAGGGACAGCCTGAGCTCTGGCAAACCAACAAGCAAACATACATATTTTTTTGATAAACCACTTCCACAAGCTTTCCCTTGCCATATGTAAGCTTTTGAGTCACATTATCTCTCTTTTTATCTTTTTTAACAGGATGAAACTTTCATCATACAAAATCCTCTTATATCAAAAGTTTATCTCTCATAGCCTTCTTAATTTTTTTCTACCTCACTTACTATAAACCTCCTATAACAAACTTGGTTGCAGCTGCTTGGATTTTAAAATATCCTTTTTTGGGCCAGGGATTTAGCTCAGTGTTTCCTCCACTTGCCTTGCAAGCACAAGGACCCGAGTTCAATCCCTGGTACCAAAAAAATAAATAAATAAAAATAAAATAAAGTCTCCTTTTTGTTTGTTTGTTTGTTCTCATATTGTTACATTTTAAATTTGACTGACTGGCAACAGACCTCTAATTAACCTTGAGGAGGTGTTCTTAAACCAACAGAGAACAGAGAAAAGAGCAAGTTAACCCTATAATTAGAATTCAAGAATTTGCAATCCACAAGAAATGTTTTAAATACACCAGTTAAACAAAAGCATCAACTCAAATCGGAAACCAAAAGTACATTTATCAATTAGCTAAAATTTGTAATTTGATTTCTCTTGTAAAACCTCCTGAATCCCAGAAGGACTCAGTCATATTTCCTCAACTTTAGCCATTCAGCCCCAGGCTGGAGTTGTTCCTGCTTTTAGATGCTTTCAAGCAGAGCCAGGCTAATGATACCAAGCAAGCAAGTGCTTCCCTTGGGGCTCCTGAAGCAGGGAATACCCCTCTCACTATCTCACTCTGTGCACTCTAATGTTTTCCCAGATTTTTTCTTCCATTTATTCACATACACTCATGTACTTCTCTATTTCCAGTTTTTTTCAGCCTAAGTGTGGGTTTCATCTGATTCCCCGAGTCTGATTGCTTGGCACACTCCCTTTTTTTATACTAAAAGAATAAAGATTTTTATTAAGCATTGTAAGTTGCATTCAATAGCCTCCAGATACGCCACACCACAATCCATTGACAGTCAATCAGACCCAACAGCAGTTCATTCTTCAAAATCCGTGAGTTACAGTAGAACTCCCTTCAACTTACAGTGAGATCCTACTTAGCTCTTTCAGGCAGGGGTTGGGGAATTACACCTCATTTCTGACCACTAATATGATGAAGAGCATCAGAAGTATATGAAAATGATAAGAAGTGATACTGATTTCAAAGCACATTGTTTGGAAACATTAACAAAAACATTAAAATGATAGAAGTATACTTGCTTCTACTAAATTCTTGATGGGAAAGTTCTCAAGAACAAGCAATTTGTTTCCTACTACAGAAAGGGGGGGTGGTATTTTTTTTTTTAAGATCAAAGGTTTTTTTTCTCTTCACAGAACTTCATATTTTTCTAATATGAAGGCATAAAACAGCAACAAAGAACAATAATGCATACAGCAGTAAATACACCAGGGTGATGTTGATATTTGAAATGGCTAGATAATTTGGGGGGGGTTAGAATAAATGCAACAGAGGTCAATAATCACAAAATTTTAAGGTTAGAGCAAGATCAATGACTAAACAGAGTTAACATTTTTATAGGACTATTACTGGTTATTAGCATTTTTGTTTTGCAAATGGGCATATACTGGTAAGAATGGAAGAAAGGACAATAACATGCATAATATTATCTACACACTTTAAAAATTATGAACCATGTAGAAGTTTAGCTCAAGTAGTAGTACTAATGGTCTATGTCCGATTCAAAACCAGATAGTTCATTGATCACAGATGCATGGCACTGGTTACAAAAAGTTTCAGAACACATTGTGTTGATTTTGAAAGGTCATTTGCATCTTCAATGATTTCAACTTTATCTCCATTTAACTTGCTTGTAAAGTATGTATGATGTATTGTATATTTAAAATCACCAGAACAGTAATATTAGTCTATAATTTTTTAGTTTCGATAGTTGCACTTTTTTTTAACTCAAAAGAACCACATCAACAGTGATGAAATTTAAGTAAGAAAGAAAAACTGTGGTTGTGCCTTATTTCTTTCATAATCATAAAAATCAAAGCCTTAAGCAAAGCTTCATTGTGAAACAGTAATGCAAAATCAGATACAATGGGATACGTATGGTGGCACACCCTCTTTGTGACCAACTCTCATTTCAGGCCACCCCCATGTTCCACTTGGGGTTGTAGGTTTCGTCTGACTCCCACTGAGTCAGATTACTCGGTACGCCTTGGAGGTGATCAGTCTCCCCTTCTGTCCCAATGGGATGGGCTCCCCTGTGGGCCCCCAAAACCTTACTGTGGTCCTGTAGCATGCTGCTCCTCCAGAATCATCCTGAATCCTCACAGGTTCCTTTTGTGCTGACAGGGGAGAGGTCTCCAGCCTGCAGGAGGGCTGATTCTCTCTCTGAGATGCAGTCTCAACCTGGTGGCATCAGAGATCTCAGGACTCTTGCAGCTTCAGCCCTTCTCGGGCCTGCAGGCAAAGGAGAAAGCAACTTTGTTATCTCCAGTCCCTTTGTGGTCACCAGAAATGTTGCAGAATTCAAGAGACAAAAAAGACCACTGGGAAACAGGAGGATTTTATTCTAGGTTTTAGGTGAATGCTGGCTCAATGGACTAGTGTCCAAAGAAGGAACGTCAAACAATGAGTACATTTATACAATTGGTTGAAGGGAGGTGGTCTTTCTAGTGGCATAACCAGCAAGTTTATACAAAACAGGACAAGGGCAGACAGTTTTGTAATTTAGCCTTGAAAGAAGACAGAGCCTTATGAATCATATGACAACAGAGTCTCATAGACTTTGTTTACAGGAGGTAGAGGTCAATTTTATCTGTACCAGAACAAAGAGTTACAGGTGGGGTGATCTGAGGCGGGGGAGAGAACTGCCCAATGCTGGGAAGAACTTGTTTTTTTTTTAACTCCTGCTTCTGTACAAGTGGGATCATGCAGGATATACTGTTTTGTATCTATTTTCCTTGACTAAAATTATGTTTGCTTGTTTTTTTCAGACAGGATCTCATTATGTAGTTCAGACTGGCCTTGAACTCACTGTGTAGCCCAGGCTGGCCTCAAACTCATGGCGATCCTCCTGCCTCAGCCTCCCAAGTGCTGCAATTACAGACATGTGCCACCACACCAAGCTTCATTGCGGTTTTAATTTGCATTTTCATGATTACCCATGAGGTGTTGTATGTTTACTAACCATTTGAATTTTTGTTTTGGGTTTTTTTTTTGTTTTTTGGTACTGGGGATTGAACTCGGGACCTTGCACTTGCGAGGCAGGTGTCAGAACTACTGAGCTAAATTCCCGGCCCTGAATTTTGTTTTTTGAGTACAAACTCAGATATTTTGTCCTTATTTTTATTGATGTATCTGTCATTTTTGCTCTACAGCTGTTGTTCAGATATTGTGACATAAGCACTTTTTTGTGCTGCATATATCTTTTCCCACTCTTTGATAAACAGAACTTATTCATTTTAATGAAGTCAAATATATCAAGCTTGGGTTCCTCAGAAACCACAGCTTGATTTTAGTGTTAGAAAGTCCAAGGAGCAGGGTTGAGGGGCATCCAGCAGGGAAAGAAAGACCTGATATGAGGGTGTAGTAATGACCTGGACACCACCTGATTAAACTGAAGTTTCAAGGGAGGGCACTGTCCTTAATAAACAAATTGCATCTCAAGACCCTCCTGGGGTGAATGAAGCCAGGCTGTGGTGTTGCATGCCTTAGTCCCAGCTACTCGGGAGGCTGAAGCAAGAAAATTGCAAGTTCAAGACCAGCCTGCACAACAAAGGGAGACCCCGTTACAAAAACAAACAAAAACATCCTGGGAAAAGTGATATAGGATAGGGGAAGAAGATCACTCATTCGTTCCTGTCTCTCACTGATCAAAACTCCATCCTGTAGGACATTATTTCCCTTACACTTTCAGGTTATATAGTGAGTTTATAAAAACAGACAGAACTCGGGCTGGGGGTTTAGCTCAGTGGTTTCGCCGCCTGCTGTGCAAGTGCAAGGACCGGAGTTCGATCCCCGGTACCAAAAAAAAAACACAAAACACCCCCCCCCCCAAAACAGACAGAACTATTTTTAATGAGAGTTAGGGACTTAACAGTGATAAATGCATGGATTGAATCCACTATGTGAAAACTGTATGTTCTAATTGATTGCTCCTGGTATATAGGAGCACTGATACTGTTAAGGCACAGCTATTTGTGTCACTGAGCAGGGAGTGTTTAACCTCAGTTCTCCTCTAAGGACTGTCAATGTTTTTATCTTTCCATGCACTTGGCACATAGCTTCTCATAAAGTTGTAGCCCCAAGTAGAAGGTTGGCAACTATTTTGCTCATCTTGCATGTAAGGGCAGGGGTGCCCTGGGCTGCAAGCTGAAAAATGGCCCAAGTCCTCCTCTTCCTGGAAGGCACTTACATCCCTCTTACTTCACAGTAGCCAAATCTCTGACTCCTCCCCTTGCTTCTAGATTCACTTCAAAGCCCAGAAGATCGGCAATTTCAGCATATTCATGGAGTGTGTTAGTTTGCTCAGGCTATTATAACAAAATGCCATAGACTGGGTGGCTTAAATAGCAGACATTTATTTCTCATAGCTCTAGAGGCTGAGAGGGCTGAGTGAGGTCAACCAGCCAACTCAGTTCCTGGTAAGCGCTCTCTTCCAGCCCTGCATATGGCTACCTTCTCTGTGTGCCCTCCCATGGCCAAGAAAGAGTGCTCTGTGTCTCTCCTTAGTCCCCCGTCATGGAACCCTAATTATCTCTCAAAAGATCTATCTCTAAACCATCATGCTGGGCTGGTTTCAACATATGAATTCTGCAGGGCAGGCGGATGACACAATTCAGTCTACGGCATACAGCTATGGTCTAGCCTTTTCTTCAGGTTTAATCTGTCATTGCTATATATCTACAATGTGTGTGCAAAAGCCTTAAAGTAGTTCACTATTTTTATTCTCTATTTCTTCTCCTACCATGGTGGGGGGTGTATGATGGATTTTTCTTTTTGCCTAAAGGCAAGTGAGACAGAGCCTTTCCCTAGAAACTCTCAGAACATTTGGCTTGTGTCTCCTGGGGTTTGGAGGTTCACAGGGGATGATGTCTTAACTCTTATCTAGGGAAAGTTCAAAAGCAAGATGTTGGCTGAGTAACTGTGTTGGAACAGCAGGTGAGGTGGGGGTATGGGACCCAGATGCACTGCCCTTGCCACCAGAGCAAAGATGCAGATGTTATCCTGTGAGGCAAGCATACTTAGAAGGTAACCAGCTGGGAGCTATTTAAACTGGCTCCTTCTCACAAGGGATGTCTAGAGAGGAAGGACAATGAAGGAGTGAGCTTTACGTAGAGTGAGCCTCCAGAAGGCCAAGGCCTTGGAAGAGGGAGGCACAGGCAGCCATGTAGAGAGGGAAAATCCTGGGAAGTGTCCTAAAGCCCACTAGGGTGACGAAACAGAGAAGAACCAACAACTGTGAGTCATCTGTGTATACAAAGGGAACCAATTTTGAAAGAAAACAGCATCCTGCACTGGCCAGGAAAGTCTGTGCTTTTTCCGCCCAACCCCTCTCTTCCTGCACCAAATCTTTGGGCCAGCATTAGAGACCAGGTAGGAATAGCAGCCAGCTATCCAGAGAGGAAGAGTGGACTCTGAGGAGTAAAGACAGGAAAGTGGAGAAGCCCAGAACACCTCCTTTCCTCCCATCATCACAACAAGCTCCAAATTTGAAGCAGGAGGAAAGAATTTGTAGTTTAAAGGAAGCTTGAAGTTTTCCTTGTTATCCTGGACTTAACATTTTCACCACTGCAATAAGAGTATTTGTCCCTGAGTTCAATGCCCCGTACAAAAAAAAAAAAAAAAGAAAGACTATTTGTGTAACTGGAAAATATTCAAAGAGTGAAGGAATCTGCGGGAGATTTCATGTGGGACACAGAACAATACATAGGGAAGGTGTGAAGAGGAAGCAGAAAAATCTTCTGATTTCATAATACGAGATCAGCTCCTCTGATAAAAATTCTTCTTCAGTATTAGAGAAGGATTTAGGAGGAAAAGTTCATACACAGAATAGTACAACAAATCCTGATTAAAATGTGCCAGGGCTGGGGATTTAGCTCAGTAGTTTCACTGCCTGCTGTGCAAGTGCAAGGACCAGAGTTTGATCCCCGGTACCAAAAACAAAAAAATGTGCTGATTCCAAGTATCAGTATTCACACTGATTCACATTTTCTTTACGTGTACATAGCTCCCACCAAAGTGTGGGTAAGCAAAATCCAGAGCAAGGCTAATAAAGACAAGGCATACAACTCTGGTAGATTTTTTTCCATTAAATACAGGGTTTTGGGGGGGTTTTTTTGGTTTTTTTGCTGGGCATGGTGCACACCTGTAATCCCAGCACTAGGGAGGCTGAAGCAGGAGGACAGCCACAGGTTCCAGGCCAGCCTGGATGACACAGTGAGTTCAAGGCCAGCCTGAGTTACATATAGAGACCCTGTCTCAAAAAACCCCACTTTTTATATACTTTTATAAAAGAAGTGAAGCTAAGTGTAACAAAAATCCACTAGTAAAATTATTATACTTTTTTTTAGTGAGCTACAATGTAAGTATATGTCATCAAACACACATGGAATCAGATATATTTTAAATTTAATAAAAACCTAAGCATTGGAAACAGCCCAAGTGCCCATCAACTGGAGACTGGATAAAGAAGATGTGGTTTTTCTATAAAATGGAGTACTACTCAGCCATAAAGAATGAGAAACTAGATATTTATAGCTAAATGGATCCATATCGAGGCCATACTCTTAAGTGAAATAATTAGGACACACATGTGTAAATACCAAAGTTTCTCTAGTGTGAGAAACTAAAAGTGCAAATAAGGATTAAAATGATTAAAATGAATAATTGATAATTTGAAATAGGAAAAGGTCCAAAGGTGTACGGTTGGTGGGAAAGGAAGGGGAAAGGGAAGAAGGGAAAGAAAAAATTATGAGAAAAGAAAAAAATGGAACCAAAGTCTATGTAAATAGGGAAGGGTGGAGTGGGTGCCTTCACACCCTACACCCTACACGCACAGGTAATGGGGAAAAAAAATAAGAACTAAGAAATATCACGTACAGGTACAAGCACCCAATGATAAATGTAAACGTATTGTATACTTAAAATGTACCAATAAAAGAATTTAAGCAAAAAAAACCCTAAGCAAATGAATAGATTTTATAATTACTTTTTTTTTGTTTTGCCTTTGTTTTGAAATCAGAAACCTTTTATGCCTAGTTCATATTCCTGAATTTTTATCTAGTTGATAGATGAAAAATATTAAGCTATTGTTTAATCAACATTTTCTTTCGTGTTTTGCACACAGTAATATTTCTTTTGGGTGCTGTCATTTTCAACTTTTGGTTTTAGGATGCAAAGCCCAGAGACAAGGCGCACAGAGAAATCCTGGTTACACTGCGGGATTGAGGAAGGGGCATGTGAATGTCATGACCTGGTGGCGGCAAGGTGCTCAAAACCTCAGGTCACTTTCTTTGAGGCCTGTTTGTGATCGTTTCGCACCACTATACCCCAGGCCCCACTTCCCATCCTCAATTTAACTCTGGAGGTTGCGGGGCCGGAACGTCACCTGACGGCTGTCACGCGGCCTCCGTGGGCGAGAGGGCTTCCGCGGGCTCCTTCCTCCCACAACTAAAAATTACAGAGGTATTTATCTTCCCACCATTTGAGCCCCCAACAGGGTGGAGGGCGCAGCGACGGCGCCAACGCGCTCACAAAGCACGTGATCGTGCAGGGACCGACGTCTCTGGCCTCCAGCGAAGGCGCTGCGGCTCTCGGCTCCCCGGGTTGTTCCTCCCCGTCCCCCACGCGCGGAGACCCCCTCCCCCGGGCGCCACGTGACCCCCGGGGGCGGGACGTGGGCGGCTTGGCGGCCGCCATTTTACGCGCTGGGTGCCAGAGCATGCGCGGCGTGGGGCGCGCGCTTCAACTCCCTCCCCTCCCCTCCGTCGCACCGCCCAGCGTTCTGAGGAGACAGGCGAAGCGAGGCGCGGAAGCTTTAGAGGGCGGGGTGTCGGCCTTTCGCTCGCTCCCTGTAACCGCCAGCCGCACCCGCGGCGGCGCGCTCGGCCCCCGGAGCTGCGCGGGGCCGAGCGAAGGGCAGGGGGTGGCAGCGGCGCCCGCCCTCTGGGCCCGAGTCGAAGCCGCCGCGGTGGCTGCAGCCGCCGGAGCCATGTACCGCAGCGGGCCCCGCGCCTCGGGCTCGTCGCACCGGGCTAAAGACGGCGGCGGGGGCGACCTGCGTACCGGCCGCGGCCCCGGCTACTCGTCAGGCCCAGCCCGCCGTCCCTCGCCGCCGCCTCCCTCCTGCGCCCCCACGCTGCGGACCCCGGCGCGCCGGCCCCGCTCGCCCCCTGCGCACCGAAGCCGCCGGGCCTCGCCGTCTCCGCCCCGCAGCCGCCGCAGCTCCCCATCCCCTCCGCGGGGCCGCCGACTCTTCCCGCCGGGCCCAGGCAGCTTCCGAGGCAGCAGCCGCGGCGAGCCCCGCGCTGATTTCTCCCGGGACGGCCGCGGGGACCACGGCGGCGACAGCGGCAGCCGGGTAATGCCACTCCTCCCAGGAGGGACCCCGCGTCTCGCACAAAGCCGGGCTCCGTCCCGGGCCGCGGCCGTGGTGCGGGAAAGTTTGCGGCACCGGGGCCACACGCGAGCCCGCCACTCCCGAGAGGGGGCGGCCAAGCCGCCCCGGCCCCGGGGAGCCGCTGTCAGGGCCTCGGGTGAGGACCTGGCGACACCGCACCTGTTAGCGGCGACACGTCGCCACGGTCACTGTCGCCGGGCCCGGCACCGTGCGATTCCAGCCTTGGAGGTGCAGCAGTGGGCACCTCCTTGCTTGGCTGAGGACCCGGCCCAAGAAGGCCGAGAGTGTCCTGGCGGAGAGAAGTAGTGGAGCTGTGATTAGGTCCCGTCTGACCGGTCCCGCAGCCCACGCTTTGCACCGTTAGGTTCACGACTAACGGCTCAGCGTGAGGTTAGAAGTGAACTTGCGGGACTGGGGTGCAGCTGTGGGCTCCTGGGTCCGGCCCCCGGCACAGGGAAACAAGGTAGATGTGACACCGACCTCCCAGGTAACCAGAGCTCAACAGAGCCTGGTGGGGCTGATATTCGGGACGGTGTTTCTATTTACAGTTCATCAGTCTTTTTTTTTTTTTTTTTTAAACCCAGTGGCAAAAATGTTCTTTTGAGGAGCTCTCTTAACGGTCTCTGAAGTCTTCTGTGTCCTCTGGTCACGGGCAAATTGACTTGTCACTCTTAAAATTTTAAAGCTGAGACCCTGCAGTGGGAGCAAGAACAGAATACTTGTTTCCGAAACCTCTGTTTTCTACTCCAGCGTAGTTTATTTACCCTAGTCTTCTTTGTCTCAGTAAATGGTATCATCATAAATGGTACCATCCCTTGTTCAAGTCAGAGACTGTCATCATGTCCCTTCTTCCCTCTTCTAACCTGTCACACCTCGTATTTCTAACCAGTTATCTGTACCTCCAAGTGGCGCCCCGGAGCTATCCTCATGCTATCATTTTAGTCTAAACTCTTCCCTCCTGGGATGGTTGCACGTGGCTCCTTTCCATTCTACTCTTGCTATCCTCTAGTTTATTCTGTATATAGTAATCAGAATTGTTTTAAAAACTTATTTTATATGTGTGAAGTGTCTGAGCATCTGGCATGTGTTTGATATAAGAGTGAACAAACTGAGGAATTGCTCTTTGAGTTTATAAGTCTTAACTGGGTGGGTTGGATAATGAGGTGGAGAAGTTAGAAATGTCATGGCATGTTAAATGTGACTAGGTACTAAGGGCAAAATAAAGCAGATAAAGGAAGGAGTTAAGGTTTTTAGGGTAGGATAGCCAAGGAAGGTCTTCTGAGAAGGTGACTTGAGTAAATATGGGAGAAGATGAGGGAGTGGGCAGGAAGTGTCAGATCACACCCTTACTTAAAATCCTCCTGTAGTTCTTATTATACTAAGATATAATCAGAATTTCCTAATTATAAACTGGGGATGGTAACATACAACCAGTCCCCACCACTGAGGGAGACTGAGCCAGAAGGATCACCAAGTTTGAGTCCCAGCTGGACAGTTTAGCAAGACCCTGTCAAATAAGAAGGGGTGGGGTTGTAGCTCAGTAGTAGAGCTCAATCTGTTTGTTCCTGAGTTCCAGAGGGGAAAAATTCCAACTGTGGTTTCCGTCTTCTCTTTCACTTTGCTGCAGCCACACCAGACTTGTTACCCAAAACATGCCAAGTTCATTACCCAGGTAGTTCTTCCTTTTGCCTGAAACACCCTTCTGTCTTTTCTTTGCATGGCTGACATCTCATTCTGTTCTCTGGTTTAAATGATGCCACCTCCGAGAAGCTGCTAACCATCCTATCTGAAGCACCTCCTCTTCCCCAGTCTTTCATGGTGCCATGTTTTAATGACTCTAGCACTTCCCTCAATGAGAAGTACTTGAAAAAAGCACACCTGTTTTTGGCTTCCCTCCTTCACTAGAAGTGTTTAGATTCTGAGAGCAAAGACTGTATTCACTTCTCTCGTTTCCATACCCAGTAAGAATGAGAGATCATTGGGAAGATTAAAGGTATGGGCTTTTATCTCTAAGAAAATGATAATTTTAAAAAATGCTTTATTTTTGGAGTAGTTTTCTTACCATACCCATTTCTTTTTTTTTCACAATACAG